CAGGCAAAAGGCCCTTCAGTTCCCCAGACAGCTGCAGGGTGGCCAGTACCTACCCTCTCTCCAGGCAGGCCAGGTGGGCCAGGCAACCCGGCCTCACCCTTCGCACCTTTCATCCCATCCTCTCCAGGATCCCCAGGGTCTCCCTGCAAGGGAAACAGCCAGTCAGAGTAGCTCCCACAAGGGACCACAGCTGCTCAGGACATCCATCCAAGTGGAACTGCGCCTCTGCTCCCCTGGTAGCAGCCCCTTGGAGCAGGGGTGGGGCCTGTCCTGCAGCCTACTCCTGCCATGCCACCTGGGGAACCCAGCTAGGCAGGGAGGGTGAGTGGCGCTGTTTGTCTCTGCTGCACAACAATGCTCCATGAGTCACAGTCCTGAGCACAGAGCAGGCAGAGCAGGGGCCAGGGCCAGGGCCACAGCCAGCTGGAGCCCGGGGGTTCTTGGCTGGGCTGTCCCCCCATTCCCACCCCAACCCAGCTCACTGCCACATTACCTTCTCGCCTTTCTCCCCAATGCCCCCTGGTACTCCTGAATCAACCTGCAGAGCAGAAAGAGAGGTCAGGGCCCAGGGCACCAAGCCAACACTACAGGGCCCAGGGCACCAAGCCAACACAGCCAGGGAAGGGACAGAGAAATGCTGAGCTTACAACTCGTCCTGGGGGTCCTGGTGGCCCCTGCAAAGGAGAAAAGGTACAGGGTCAGTAGAGGCCTCTATTGTACCCACAACCCAGTGCACACAGGCAGGGATGCAGCCACATCCCACATGGCATGTGAGAGGGGACAGGCCCCAGCACAAGCTCCACAGGGCACAGACCCACCCCCAGTGCATGACACCAGAGCTGTGGGGCAGCCAGCAAGCTGGGGCACAGCAGGGTGTCCGAGCTCCACAGCTCTGATACACAAAGGTGCATGTGTCCCAGGTGGTGGCCCTAGAGCCAACCTGGGGGCTCAGAGAGGGCCACTCATCCAGGCGCCCTGCACTGACTTTGCCCCTGCACCTCCCCTGCCCAGCCAGACCTGACTCTGTGCAGTGACCAGAGGCTACAGACTGGCTGAGGAGCTGGCACTGAGCACACACACCCCAGCAGCTAGGAGCACCAGGCAGCGCCCACAGCCCAAGGAAACTTCTGATGGAAGGGAAATACTGACAGTCCTAGCCCCCATGGCTCAAGTCTTGTGCAGGGGCCAGCAAGCATGGGAGGCAGGCTGGTGTCAGCTGGTCACCACATGGTTCAGAGTATCTCTGCCCCTGCGTCCATGGGGCAAGGGTATGATGGACCCAAGGTCAACATGACTCTTCTCAGAGGCTTCAAGAAGTACAAGCCAGGCCCAGGCTTGAGTGCCCAGATTTCCATGCCTTGTGAGCCACAGCAGTGCCCATGTACCCTGGCCCCTGGGGTGGAGAGTGAGGGCTGTAGCAGAGCCCCAGGAGAAGGGGCTGTTCCAGTCCAAGCACCACATGCTCCCACCAGATAAAGCAGTACAGATGGTCACAGCTACTCACTGGGTCCCCACGGTCACCCTTGTTCCCTGGTGCTCCAGGACTGCCCTGCAAGAAGAGAAAGGATGTGGTGAGGAGGGGGCAGACACTGGTGCTGGGGACGGGGGTGGGCTGGGCACCTGACACTCACGTTTCTGCCCTCGGCGCCTGGGTCTCCTTGGTCACCCTTCTCCCCAGGGAGGCCACGGTATCCCGGAGGGCCCTGTGAAGAGACAGCAGGTGAGGCAGTGTCCTGAAAACCCCAGCACATTCCCACAGGTCTCAATGACCTCCCCCACTCACTGTACCAGAGGTCCCCCTCCACTTACCCGGGCGCCTCTGTCCCCTGGCTTTCCTGGAGGCCCCGACTCACCCTAGGGAATAACGAGATGGGAGGTGAGAGGCTGGGTAGGAAAAGCAAAGGGGATGAGGCAGGTGAGGGGCAGTGAGAGCCCCAAGGGAGGGGTGGCACTTACCGGGGTCCCCTCGTCGCCCTTCTCACCAGGCTCACCCTATGGCACAAACAAACCGGCACCCAGGGGGAGAGGAAGAAAAGATGCTGTTACCTTCCCTGCTCACCAGGCATGGAGCTGCCCCTAGCACCCAGATGCTTCTTCCCTCCTACCAACCTCCCTGCCTTCGGGGCAGACCCAGACCCAGCAAACATGCCAGGGCTCCACACTGACACCCCTGCTTCCCCCAGCCAGGTGCCCCCGCTCCTTGCTTTGTGTCCCTCTCAGGTCCCATGCACAGGACCTTATGTCTGTCAACAAGGGCCTCTTGATGTTGCCATGGCAATCTGGCCCAGCATCACCATGGAAACTAAGCCTGGAGGTACAACTTCACTGCAGCCAGGAAGGGGCTCTCTGCTGCTGGAACACGCTGAGCCCAAGCCACTGCCCCAGGAGCACCCCCACCTGCCCCGCACCCTGCCAGGACAGGCCCCCGCCCCCCTGCAGCGCAGCCTCTCCCCATTACCTCCTTCCCTCGTGGGCCGGGCTGCCCAGGGGACCCTGCTCTCCCCAGCTCCCCCTTCTCACCGGGCTCGCCTGGGTCCCCCTGTGTGAGAGCAAATCAACACAGAGAGGAGAGAGGGAGTCAGTGTCCTGCCAGCAACAGTGAGGGGTGTCACTGCACACACATATGCACACACTCACATATGCACAGCTGCATGCACACATGCACAGACCCACACTCTTGGCCCACATACATGGGACAGAGAGGGGGAGAGGCCTCCCACACCCCCCACCCCAATCCTCACAGGAGAAGACCCGCAAAAGCAACCCCTGGACCCACACGCCATATTCTCAGCACAAGGGGACCAGAGAGGTACACAAGCCTGCACAGCCCCTTATCCTTACTGCTCCCCCCTCCCCGCCCCCCGAACCATTACCTTGGGGCCACTCCTGCCAGTGAGGCCAACAGTCCCCTGGAGAGAAAGAAGCCATTAATGGGGCTGAGGGGCCTTGCAGAGGCCGAGTGGGGTCAGAGAAAGTGATGCAGGGAGCTACACTTGTCTGTGGGCTGCTCCTGGGGCAAAGGCAAGGGCAAGAGAAGCTGTGTCCCTCCTCCCAGGGTCCAATGTGCACAGAGCCTCTTCTTGTGCAGAGGCTGTAAAGGCCCTCACAATGGCACAGGGGTGCTGGGCCTGTGCAGAGCTGGCTCTGCCTCCCCCATGTTCACCTGCAGACCCTGCCCATATGAGGTAGCAGGGCCAGTCACTGCCCCCACCACCATGGGGGATGCATGCTGAGCTGTTCCCTCCTCGGGGAGCTCCAAATCTGGCCAACAGCACCCTGACATCCAGGAGGCCCAGAAGCACAGCTGCCAGCCCCCATGGGAGGGGATGCCGGGCAACCCACCAGACTTACCCTTTCCCCCTGCTCTCCTTTGGGGCCGGGTGGGCCAGAGATGCTTAATCCAGTGGGGCCCTGGAATGGAGAAACGACAGGTCAGGAGGAGAAGCAGCTCTCCCAGCGCCTCACAGGTGAGGGGCTGCTGCCACTTGTCTTGCCCCCAGAGAAGGGTGGGTTCGTACGCTCAGAGGAGGGAGTTACTGAAACACCACAGAGCAGGATGCCCAGCAATAGAGATGAAAACCCTCCATCCTGAGCCACCAGCTGGGCTCAAGCCTGAGCAGCCCCCCACTCCGCTCTGGGGCTGAGAGCCGCTGCAGTGCTCAGGCAGGCTGTTTGGCTACAGGGGGCTCCTTCCCACTAAGGTTTGGGAGAGGATCCAACTGCCTGCAGCGAGGGCGGCACTCCTAGGTTTCAGTGGGCACTGGAGCTGGCTTCAGCCCCTGCTTCTTGCTGGCTGCCCGCCCTCAGCCAGAGCTCCTGGGTGGGTGCCAAGCCCAGGGACCTGGCCCAAGGATACTCACGCGGTCTCCTTTATTTCCAGGGTCTCCCTTGGAGCCAGGGGGGCCCTCTGGTCCTGCAGGACCTTTGTCGCCCTGGAACAGAGGACATGGCCCTGTGAGCCGCCCAGACTGGACACCTTCCCTTGCAGATGGAGGGGAGTGTGCACCAAGGGGGAATGTGGCTGAGGAGGTCCCCCCCAGATGGCAGCAGACCCCCTCCCCTCCAACCCCACGTGCTGTGTAGCCATGGGGTCCAGCCGGTGAAGCATACAGATGTGGCCTGTATATCATCTACAGACCTCAGCCTCCATGATTCACACCAATAGGGCAAGGGAGGGGTGGGAGTAGAGGGGGAATGACAGGCAAGACTAGCACTGGCTGAAGGGACAAGGGGTGAGCACAGCACCCCTTGTCCAGTGGATATGGAGTATGCGGACATCTCCTGGGCACTGGGCAGCATGTACAGAGTTGAGCAGAGGCCTGGGCTCTCACCCATAAGGGCTGCGCAGTTGCCCTACCAACCTCCCTGCAAGCTGGGGGCAGAAGGGATCAGCCACCAGACATAGCCTCTGTCACAGTGGGCTAAGCTCTACACCTCACTGCACACTGTGCACCACGTGGACACACAGCAAGATAGAGACGCTGCAAAAGAACACATCAAAGCAGCCTCTGCTGCCATTCAGACAGAAGCACCATCAGTTACCTTCTCTCCTTTGATGCCAGAGATGCTGGAAGCCTGGGGAGAAAAAAAGAACAGCTGAGGCCTGAGAGGCCGACAGCAAGCAAGTGCTCCTGGAGCGCCCTGCCTGCCCCTGGCAGGGGGATCATAACCTCTCAGCCCTTGTTCTGTGCCCCAGCCTCCACAGAAACAGACCCCAGTCCATCTCCTGGCTCCCCCCTGTACCCAAGCTCCTGTGGGCACACTACCACCTTGCAGCCAAGTCCCCACCCTTGCACCCCCTTCTCATCAGCACTGATGCTGGACCTCTACTGCCCACCCTTCCCTGTAGGGCTCAGCTCCCCTCTGGAGGTGCTAGGAGCCCTGGCCCACCCTCCCTGCTGCCCAGGAGGTCACTTACCGCCCTCCCAGGTTCCCCAGGAGCTCCTGGATCTCCCTGACAGAGGGAAAACAAGAGAGGACAGATGTCAGCTGCCCCTGCCTGGCACCCTCCCCACAGGGACTGCAGCTTCCCATGGGGGCATCAACTTCCTCCAGACTCAGACCCTTCCACCCCAGCCCCTGGCCCCATGGTCAGCATGGCCACCTCAGTGCAGGCCACTGAGACCCTAACCCGCCCTGAGCACCAGAGCTTTGGTGGCTCAGCCACACTGATGCTGACTGGGGGTCAGTCACATAAGACGAGGCTCCTCCCAGGCCGGGGGCCAGAGCAGAGGGATGGACTGCTACCCCCATCAGCATTCCCCCCACAAACAGCTGTGGCCATCCCCTGCAGGGGAGCTAGTGTGGAAGGTGAAGCCAGTCACACTGCAGTCCAAGTGCCTGCCCCCAGCAAATACTGTCCCCTCTGTAACACTGCAGCCCCCACATGTGCAGGTAGCACTGAGCAGAGCAGCAGGCCACCAGCCACCCATGCTCCCAGCTTTCACTGGAGTACTAGCCAGGGGATCGAGCACAAAGCTCCCCCTCCGCAGGGAAGTCCCCACACTGCAGGGTCCCCTTCTCCTTAGAACATCCCTCTAGGGAAGATGTGCTCCTGGCTGCTTCTTCAGAAGACCCCAGCCCAGCCCCACTGCCTCACCTCCCAAGGGCCTCTCCTCTCTCAGCCCCCAGGCTCCACCTTGTGTCAGGAATGAAGCCAGACATGGAGAAATGGCGGGGGGGGGGGGGTCTGGCTGCTTTATCTGTTGCATTAAGGGTAATCACAGTATTTTGTACACTGAAACCATGCACTGCTGGTCCGGGGCTCATTACTGAGCAAAGGACACTGAATGCAGCAGCCCCAGGATGTCCCAAGAGACAGGTAAGGGAAGAGCATATCCATGGCTGGAGTGCAGTGCTAGAGGACAGCATCCCCTCACCCCACAGGCACCCCAGCAACACTTTGCCCACCCCAATAGCTTCCCAAGGGGCACAGCAAGTAGGCAGGGCATAGGCTACAGCAAACGGTCCCTACCTTTTCCCCTCGTGGACCGGCTGGTCCTGGCAATCCCTGTTCCAGAAATTAAAGAGACAAGAGAGCAGCCCCTCAGAGCACTAGCATAGCTATCCCATGTCCTGGCCAGGCACACCAGGCCTTCAGGGAGGCTCATGCCACAAGCCAGTGCAAGACTGAGCACAGACCCAGTGTCCATGTTCAGGAGCAGGAGGAAGGTCCTGCCAACCTTGTTGACTTGCAGTCTAGGGCCTCAATTAAGGCAGAGCAGTTTCAGACAATTGTCTCTGCCCCTTCCCACCCCACAGGGAGTCATCCAGGCTGCACTTGGATGCTCTGATGGCTGCTTCTGAGGGAAGAGCTGCTATGGTGCAGCAGCAGGAGATGCCTCAGCCTGGGTCCTCTGCCAGGGCCTCCAGCAGTGCTGGGCAGGCAGTTGCTTCGGTACCATAACTTTCCACTTCAGCCAAACAGAGCCTGCCACACTCACCTCTCTGCCAGATGGGCCCAAGCGGCCTGGACCTCCGGGCTGCCCCTGACAAGGAGGAAAAAAAAGGCCTCAGGGGAAACAGAGCATTCTCAGGACATAGGCTTCACCTCTGAAGGTGGGCACAAGGCAACCCACTTGGGCCAGAGCCACCTCACCCAGCTGACTGCTTCTGCCCTTCTTCCTCACCCACTGAAACCTCAGGGCTTTGCTCCTACCCTCCTGAGCTGCAGGTTGGGAATGGGGTTCAGGGCAGGTGACCCACTACAAAAGCTCACAGAGCTGGTTCACTGCCCCCGACCAGCACCCAGCCCATTGTGCTGCCCCATAGAACCATGCACACCCCCAACCTGTCCCTCCTGTGCCTACTGGGGCTGCAGGCAAAGATCTGGCACCATCATCACATGTATGTTGGAGACAGAGCTAAGGGAGCAGGGCAGGGTCCCAGACTGCTCGGGTTGGTGTGACCAAAGAAAGCACAGAACTACATTTACATTTCAAAGGCAGAACCTGTAAGAGATGAGAGAGTAGACTACACTGAAGGCATGAGGGGTGTCTTATACATGAGGGACATGATATATGTGAGGGGCATGATATATGTGACTATGGCCAAGGCACCCAAAGGAGAGAAGGAGGTGCAGATTCGCCTTTAAAGACCCAGGCAGAGTTGAGGCCTGTGGAGTCTCCACTCCCAGGCCTAAGACCTGCAGATTCCACAGAAGGGCTTTCTGAATCCCTGGCTGTAAGAAGATACTTTGCCCTCAGGACTACATAAGATTCATGCAAAGGCTTTCTGTTGTCTTTTTGGTTCATTATATTGCATTTTAAATTAGACTAAGTTGTTCAAGCATTTCTAAATTCAGTGCCACTACCTAAAGTCTAGAATTAAATTTGGTAACAGGGTGAACAGCACAAACTATGGCCAAGGGCCAGACTGAGTGACTTCCCTGGCCAGGGCTGTCCCTGCCCATTACCAGGTCTGCTGTAGCTGCTGTGTGTCAGCTGCTCCCAGAGATTGGGTCTGGGGATGCAGAAGTGGCTGAGGTTAGCCCAGAGCAAACTTACCTTCTCCCCTTCAGGCCCTGGGGGTCCACGATCTCCCTAGAGGAGAGGGAATGAGACCAATTCAGTTTGGCTCACACTCCCCGAGTGCCCTCAGGTGAGCCTGTGATAGCTCCCCAGCAGATAGCCACCTCCTCAGAGACCCCTCTGAAACAGTGCACAGCTTCCAGGTGCTTTCCCCAGCCCCCTTCAGGGGCTCAGACTCCACCAGTCAGTCACCAAGGACACTTCACAGCCCAGTACATTCAGGGAGGATCCTGGCCTGGTTGTCCCTCCCCTTCTAGACAGGAGGTGATCTCCTCTCCCAGGGGCTCATTTCTCCCTCTGCTTCCGGGGCAGATGCTTTGGAGCAGAACATTAGCCCCACCACGGGCAGAGGACTCCTGGTATGTGGGACCTGCAGGGCCAGTTTCCTTTCTGCAGAAGGCCCTGCTCCCAGTGGCAGAAGGTGAAGCTGAGTGCTGCTACTTCCCTGTCTCTACCCCCTGGGTCTGGGTCCTCCACCAGGCTGCTACCAGCCAGGGCAGCAAGAGGACCTGTTGGAACCCAAACCTAGTGCTGGGCTGGCGGGGCAGAGGGGGTCGTGAACCCTGGAGGGCACAGGTGACTCAGTGTACCCCACACTCACCTTTTCCCCTGCTTCTCCAGTCTCTCCTGGAAGCCCCCGGTCTCCCTGCCATAAAAAAACCCAATGGTGTCTCTGTCAGACAGTACAAGGACCACGCCAGGGACCCCTGGCATAGCTGAGGTGCCCATGCAGCCTGGGACAGGGAGAGCAGGCTCCACAGATCTGTGTGGAAGGAAAGCCACAGAGCCACCTACCTTCCGTCCTTGCTCGCCTGGTGGTCCCCGCGGGCCCTAGCAGAGAAAGCGAAAATGTCAGATCTCTGCCACTGAGCCCAGGCCCCACTCAGCCAAGAGGGGTCGGCCATGCCACCTAACCTTCTTTGCCACCTGCTGCTGTCCAAAACCAGTGCAGGATGACATGCCCAGCCCAGGGCAGGTCCATGGTTGGGATGGGACCTGTCCATCTCCCAGGACCAGACCTGACTTCCTCAACGTACCCAGGCAATGCCTCCCTTTGCTCAGTCCTGCTCCCTGGGGCAGGACAGAGGGTGGAAGCTGCTCCCAGCTGGGCCTGCCATTGGGGCAGTGCAGTGCCAGGCCACCATTCCAGTTCAGCACCCATGCAGTCTCTTGGCTCTGCTGGCTTTTTGGACTGGCAGCAGGGTACCCTCCAGCTGCTGGGGGTGGGGGGAGAGGGGCAGGAGCCCTTTCCTACTGAGAAGGGGCTTTGCCATGCTGCAGAGAGGCAGAGATGGCTGTTGAGCCTGACACAGGGTCTGCTCCTGCCCTGCTCCGTCAGGGCTCATAAGTCTAACAGCTCTGGCCACTCAGAGCCTAAGCCTGCTCCTCTCTTGGGGTCCCGGGGTTCACCAGCCCCCTGCCAGCTGGGCGCAAGCCACTAGGATATGGCCAACCTCCTCACCCGATCTCCTGGATCCCCTTGACGGCCGGGCGGCCCTGGAAAACCTTCCTCTCCATCACCCTGGGAACAAAAAGCAAAGCGAGAGCTGATGAGAGGCAAAGGTATGGTCTTGGAGGGACATGGGGGACAGGCACAGCAGATGGCAGATCTTGCCTCTCTAGGTTAGCAGCATTGAGAGAAACCCAGGGAATGGAGGCCTCCACACCCCATGAAACAAGCCTCCTCCTCCACCTCAGCCACCCCATCACCAGCTCAGCTAGTGGAAGGGAGCATGGAGTGGGATTCCCCCAGCAGGCAGAGGCCAAAGGCCCTGCTCTCCCACCCCTACGGTGCACCCTCTTACCTTCTCTCCTTTCTGTCCTGGGAGCCCTGCAGGTCCCCGGGGCCCAGGGTCACCAGGCAGGCCCTGAAGAATGAGACAGGAGGAGCAGCTGAGCTGAGCCCAACATGAGCAGCAGAGGGCAGGGGGCCAGACCCAGCCTAGAGTGAGCAAGGGCTTCCTGAGTCCAGGCTCAGCACTGGCCCCACACTGGGAGGGGGGTGTTGGGAGGGGGCAGGTGGATTTAGGGGAGGACTTATTCAGCTCCTTTCCTAACTTGGACCCAATAGACACCAGGGCCAACCCCCTATACCTTCCACCCCGCTCAATGCTTCACCCTCACCCCATCCATCTCTCTCCATGTACCCCCAGCTGCCCCTCACTCCAGCTCTGCCACAGCCCTGTCATGGCAGGAACAAGTACTCACCGGGACACCTGGCTCTCCTCTGGGTGCTTCCCCATCAGTCAGCCCTGGGGGGCCCTACAGAGACAGGCACAGGAAGTCCTGCTGTCACTGCATGCCCCGAAGCCCCACAGGAGGCAAAGCCACGAGGGCCTCCCATGCTGGCCACACATGTGGGCCCACACAATGGCCATACATGGCCATGACTCCCCAGTTGCTGCATGTGAGGTGACTGGGCCTGGGAACCAATGCACCCAGACCCCCACAGGCACCCTGCCCTGCAGTGACTGCCATCCTCCCATCTCTGCTGTGCCCTGGCAGGGGGCATTCTTGCTCCTCCACATCCAGCACCAGGGCCCATCCCAGCTGGGACCACAGGGGATGAGCCAGGGAAAGAGGAAAAAGTGGGGGTGATAGTGACTCACTCGTTCGCCACGGTCGCCTTTCTCCCCCTGCAAGAGGAAACGTGCTCAAGTCAGAAGTGGCTCCTTGCTGGCAGGCTCCCAGCATGGTTACCACTTTCCGATAGGGCAGTGCTGAGGACAGGGACAAGGGGCATTCGCAGGGCAGGGGGGGAAGAAATGAACACACACACAGCCCCCCTGTCCCCATAAGCAACTGGCAGGGGACTGTATGCCAAGGGGCCACTCTGCCGGAGGCCAAGGCACAAGCAGCAGCTCAGCGTGGCTCTGTGGTGTGTGTGTGGGGGTGGGGGATGACTCTGTCTATTCACCCCTGACTGGGGACATGGAGATGTCCTGAGTATGGCCAGGTGAGTGATACACCCAGCATTCCCGTGTGAGCAGAGGGTGGGGATGCTGGCCTATGTGGGAGACAGGGCACCAGAGGCACAAGGTGAGAGGCTACAGGGGCATGAGCCCAAGGAGCTGGGGCAGGCTGGACCAACAGACATGGAGAGGACTGTGGAGGGCACATGGGGGCTGCTTCTCAGATGCAGGGTGTGGGAATCTGTTCAGAGGACATCTGTGTGCACACAAAGGAGGGTGCCTTGCAAGCCAGACTGTCCCGCTGCCCAGGATGGGGCTGGGCTGGCTCCTCGCTGGCTGGAGAAGGACATACCTTGACGAAGTCTCCAGGAGGTCCTGCTGGCCCCGGAAGTCCAGGAGGTCCAGAAGGTCCTGGGTCACCAAATGCTCCTCTGGGGCCAGGGTTTCCGGGAGGCCCAGGGATTCCCTAGGGAATGGGAGAGGAACCATCAGTGGTCAGCACGGGGGACACCATGGGGCATGGGACGCCATGGAGCAGAGGAGGAGCAAGTAGGTCTGTAGTGTACCCAGGCCTAAGGGCATCTGGAGTCAGTGAGTGAGCTGCCTGTGCTGCCCAGCCATTGGCAGTGCCAGAGCCAGAGGGTCAGGAGGCAGAAGACCAAAAGCAAGGCCTTGAAGGAGACAGACCTTAGAGTAGAGTTTAGATTATGGTTGTATGGGATGGTCTGGATAGGGCTGGGCCTGACTCAGGAAGGGGTTGGACTAAATGACCTTTGGAGGTCCCTTGCAACCTGACTTCTCTAGGATTAGCTATGATACTCTAACCCAGCCAGGGTTGCCCCATGAACCAGGGAGAAGGGCTCCAGCATGGGAGGGAGCACAATGAGGCCTCTCAGACCTTCAGCACTGAGGGGGCTGTGGGATGGCAGGCCCTGGAGGGAAGAGCTCCTGGACCAAGCACCGCATCAAGGGCCTCACACCTCATGTAATTGGAAACCCAATCTGAGTTCCCCAAGAAACAGGTCTGAAAGGAAGGGCCCTTGTTGGCAAACACATGGCATAATTAAGTCTCTGGCTCTTTAACTAATTTTGGAGCTACGTGACAGATGTGACAGATGTTGAGTGCGTGACTGGAGATAGAAGGGGAGGATCCAGGCTGCTTCAACACTGGTGCAACTTAAGAAAGCAGGGGGCTGCATTTCAAAGCGAGCAGAAGGCACTTTGTTAAAACCTATAGACACTACAGAACCAGAAAAACATCCTGAGACATGGAAGTCATGGAAGACATGAGAGGAGTGAGGGATGTGCTGTTGTCCAGGCAACTAAAGGGGGACAAAAGGGCGTGAATCACCATAAAACCCAAGCAAGGATGAAACCTGTGGGACTGCTCTCACCATCTAAGAAGAGCTGCAGATCCCCCAGAAAAACTTCTGAATGCCTGGCTGCAGACTCTGTCCTTGGGACTACATAAGACTTACGCAGAGTTTCTGCTCTGTCTTGACTTAGGCTAAGTTGTACGCTGCTTTGTCTTGTCTGTTGTGTTTTAGCTTAGGCAAAGCTTTTCTGTGGTTTCTTTGTCTTCTGCTTAGAACTGCAAATTGCTGTGCTCAGTAAACACTCTCTTCAGATAATGGTCTGTTCTTGTTCAAGCTGTTTTATGACTTCAGTGCTCCAATAGTAAAGCCCAGTAATACCCTGCCAGCACCAGCATAGGGCCCAGAGGCCCTGGGCTGCACTCAGACACCCCAATGGCTGCTTTGGACTACGTACCGGAGTGCCCGGCTCTCCTTTCCGCCCAGGCAGCCCACCTCCTCCATCCACGATTACACCAGGCTCCCCCTGCACAAAACAAAAGGGTAAGAGTCATGGTTCATGCCCTGCATCTTACTCCAGGACCACAGCACCCATGAGATGTAGGACAGTCACCCATCAGATGTAAGACAGTCATCTGACATCAGTGCTGCAGTAGCATTTAGGACAAGAATCAAGGGTGGATTCTGCAGGGAGACATGGGATGGCAGCATGGACTGACTAAAGCGGGACACTGGCCAGGGCAGGGGGTAGGGAGATGAACAGCAGCCTGGTAGAGGAGGCAGGTAGTGATCACACATGGGCCAGAGCTTGGTGGGGACACTTCCAGCAGACCTGACCACCCTAGCACCGAGCTATGGCAATGAGGTGAGTAGAGAGCAGACCCCATGGTGGATGGAGCCCCTGGTGAAAGAAGAGACCTGGGCCCATCCATTTCATCACTGGAGCTCTGGTGTGACCCCAGCACCCTAGGCTGCCTCCTCCAGGGGGTCAGAATCTGCCAGGAAGTCATGTGGCAGCCCTTGGAAGAGTCCTGGGCTACTCAAGGGGTACAGACTGTGAGCTCCCCACACCCATCCCAGCCTGGGCATCAGACAAGATGCTGAAAACAGAGCCTGCAGCAAAGCTTTGAGATGTGTGTCTATGAACACTGTGCCTGACGAGGAAGCCAAGATGGCAAGCCCAGCTAGGCAGCCCCAGGCAGGATGGACATCCACCTACCGGCTCGCCTTTCTCTCCCTTGGGCCCAGAAAGCCCCACGGGGCCCCGCAGTCCCTGGAAGGCAAAGGCAACAGTGAGTGAGAGAGCTCTGGAAGAGGGAGCAGGGTTGGGGGATAAAGAGAGCTCTACTTACAGGTTCCCCTCTGGAGCCTGGAGTGCCTTGGCTGCCCTGGAACAGAAACATCAAGCCAACCAGGTGAAGGTGTGCCTGTTGCCTAGCCTGAGGGCAGGGGAGACTTGGGGGGGCTGAGGCATGCACATGGTCTGCATGCTACACCTGTGGCTGGGAACACAGAGCATGAGACAGGCTCCCGGAACAAGGGAGAAGGGTATTGTGGACTGAGGGTCTCTGAACTCAGGAGAGACCTCTTTAATTCAAGCCTGGGGGTGCTGCTGCTGTTGTGATTCTGGGTAAGACCCAGGGACAGCTCTGCACTGCCAAAAGCAGTGGGCAATGGGATGCAAGCTGCCCAGGAGATCAGGGAGCCAGGAGAGAGATGTAGAGCCCAGGGGAACAAGGGGCATCACTTACTGGCTGGCCGGGAGAACCAGGGTTGCCAGGGCGACCAGGGCTTCCTGGCACCCCATCTGCTCCTGGGAATCCCTGTGGAGAGAGGGGGAAATCAGCCTGTGGGTTCCCGTCTCCTGCCATTCCCAGGTGCACTTGCACTCCAGCACTGGGAGTATACTCCATGGGTGCTAACTCTATGGATGCCCCAGGGCTCAAGCACCCACCGAAAAAATTAGCAGGTGCTCAGCACCCATGGAGCCACCTGCAGATGTTAAAAAAAAAAGCCCTTTACCAGAAGAAGCAACGCGATACTTCAACCCAGCTCTGCAGTGTCTGTAAAGATCAGGTGCTTCAGAGGGGCTTTTTGGTGCTTTTGGCTTAAGGTGATTCAATCAGCTATTAGATAAAAGTACCAAAAAAGCCCCATTAAAGTGCTTGATCTTTACATGTGCTCCAGACCTGGGTTTAAGTAACACGTTGCCTCTTCTGGGCAGGCATGGGGCTTGGTGTGGGAATGCACTGAGTTAAAAGTAAAGTGCCAGGTTTGGTTTGGTTTTGTGTTTTGTTTTGGGTTTTTTTGGTAGGGGTGATGTCTGCAAGCACCCACTGGCAAAAAACAAAGTCAGCACCTATGACTGGGAGACCTTCACTTCCCAAAATGTCCAGCCATGTGGGGGCAGGCCCAGGGACTGGCTTGTGCTTGTTTTGAGAGGCCTCTGCAATTGGGATGTGACTGAAGCTTTGGAGGGGGCAGGGGAGCACAGCAGAGCTTGCTTTGCACTCCCCAGATGCTCCCCAGGGCAAGACCCCTCCAGGGTTGCAGAAACACACTGAGCAAGTAAAAAAGAGAAGAGCCCCATCTTTGTGTTTCTCAGGCCACCACTGCCCATCTCCCAGTGCTCCACAGTGCCACATGGAGGGATCTCAGGGGCCATGCACTGGGAACACACACACGGGTCTGGAGAGGGGACCCCAAGGTCTCATGCTCAGAGACAGCAAGTAGCCTCGAGAGCAGAGCAGAGGATGCCCTTGGAGCTCCTATGAGCCTGGTGAGCCGCTCCAGCAATTACTCACCCTCTCCCCCTTCTTGCCCGGCTGCTCGATCACCTGGCCAGGGGCACCCCGTGGTCCTGCAGGCCCCTGAGGGCCTGGGAGCCCATTGCGCCCCTAAAGGAAGGAAGGAAGGAAGAAACCACCAAGTGAAATGACATGGGGAAAGTTGGGGGGATTTCTCTCTAGGCCCATTGCCCCACAGAGCGCTCTGCCCATCTCCTGCACCTCCCGAGTGCACAACCAACAAACAGGAACAGGACCACAAGGACAGATCCCAGCACACATAGTGAGGTCACCTGGGCAGGGCCCTGCCACCTTCCCCTGTCTGGACATCAAGGCAACATGGAAGCCCCAAGAAACCATGGGCTCTCCCTCACCAGCCCTCATAGAGCAGAACCCCTGGAGCTATTGGCAGTGCCTTACGATGCCCCAGCCTGCTCCCAGGCATGCCTGGCCTTTTCTGGTCACAGCAGGATCATAACAACCCCCCCAACTCTGGGGTCAACAAACAGAGGGATGGGGAGGAGGAGGAGGAGAACATTACCGGTTCTCCAGGGGGGCCAGGCAGCCCTATGCGTCCTTTCGGTCCCTGCACAGAAACAAAGCCAGGAGTTACCAGCAGCTAGGACATGGGTCAGAGCCCATGAGTCCATCAGCAGCAGCCGCCAGACTGCGCAGCCTCCCAGCCCGCCCTCTTGGTGCCCCCTTCCAGCATCTCCCTGTGACACTCACCATGTTGCCGGGCTCCCCCTTCTCACCCTGCAGCATAACAACAAAGACACCAGAATCAGAAGCAGCACAGTGACCCCATGGCATGTCCACACCCTAGCGCCCGCTGACCCTGGGGCAGGGAGGCCACGCCTGCCACCCCCACACACCCCTTCCTGCCATCGCAGCTGCAGCTTTCTGCTTTCAGCCCAACCAACTCCCCTGGTCCCTCTGGTTGGCCCACAAGAAGGGCAGGGGGAAGCACCCTCCATAGGCATTCACTCTCCTTTACAAGGCCACCCCCACGTCCCCTCCACCCCCTTCCTCTCCAGGGACTACAGGTCCCTCTGGCTGCCCCAATGCAGAGCATGTACAGAGCCCCCATCTCTGTAGCCCCCTCATGTGTCCAGCCTTGGCCCCTGCAACCTCCTCTGCTGCTCCTCACTCCAGGCCTGCACTGAGCCAGGAACGCAGAATAGCCCCATGCTGACCTCCCCCAGCTCTAGGGAGCTCCCCTGCCCCATAGGCACCAGCCCATCCCCTCACACCCAGCAGAAACCCCCAGCTCTCAGACACACCAGCCTAACCCCAGCTCCAGGAAGAGCCCAGGCCCTCTCCACTTCCCACTGCTGACTGAGCGCCCTGTCCACCCCATCCCAGGGAATGTGGCACAAAACTCACCTTGGGACACTGTGTCATGCAGGGCTGTGGCCTTGGCTGTGGAGAAAAGGGCAAGTTCTGCATTAGACAGCTGAGCCAGATCCAAGGCCCGTGGAGGCCAGAGGAGGGAGGTGACAGGAGGTGCCTATAGCCAAGTCTGAAAAGCATTCCCCATATAGAGATCGAGCCCCCAAGCCAGCCCCGTTCCCACCTGCCACTGGGCCAGCACCCAAGCCCAGTGCCCACTCAAGGTGACTGCGGGAACCCCTTGAAGAAGTCAGGCCCTGCCTGCCCCTCTGCTGGCTGCTCCTACCCCTGGGATGTCAATTATCTGGCAGAGGGAGCTGGCAAGCTCATCCTCCAGCCCCAGTGAGGCTGCCCGTGAGTCTGCAGCAGAGAGGACATAGCGGGGGTTGTCATCTGTGACGACGCGGCGCAGCTGTTCCCGGTCTGCGCCTTCCATGCCCACCGCCAGCACCTGGATCCCTGCCCAGGAGAGAGAGAAAGTGGCCTCCATGGGGAGCAGCCCAGTAGCAACCACCCCGGTCCCAAGAGCTGGTGAGCAAAGGGAGAGGGGGAACCAGCTCCAGTGCCACAGACTGCCTTGAACAGGGGTCTTGGCCAGTCCCACTGCTGAGAGGAAGGGGCTGGGTGCCCTTCTCCCTGACCACCCCTCCCATTCTCAGCAGTGCCCTAGTCCTGCCCCACATCCACATGGCCCTGCCACCCTGTCCCAGCTACTCCACGTGTCCTGCTCTCACCCGCAGCCTTGGCCTCCCTGGCTGGCCCAATGACGTCATCACCTGAAGGGCTGTCAGCCAGCACCACCAGCACTGCCGGCACGTCCGGTCGGTGCCCCGCGCTGGGGCTCAGCATGTATGACCTGGCAAAGTTGATGGCTGCACCTAGAGAGTGGGAAGACGAGTCACCCAGGGGCCTGAAGCCTCCCTAACCTGTGCACTGTTTGTCCCTCCAACCCCACCCACCCCAGGACAGCCAGCCAGCCCCTGGCCAGTGGAAAGGGGCTGCAGCAGCCTTGAGAAGCAGAGTCCCACGCCTCCCTGCTTCAGCCTCAGAGTGCAGAGCCAGAACAGGCCCCCACACCAGGTCCTGCCCACCTCCCCTCTGCACCAGACTGAATCCTTGGCATCTTGGGGGCTGGGTGGCAGGCAATGCACACCTCATGGGCACCATGGGCAGCCGGATGCTCACAGCCACCACTCCCAAGCCCCTGTGGACACTGGGGGCTGCGCTAAGAGGAGGTGAGGCTGGGCTGCCACGCAGTGCCCCTCACCCATTGCATTGCCACTGGGCTCTTCATAGGGCAGGTTTCGGATCTGCTCCAGCACAGCACTCAGGTCATTAGAGCGGTTCAGCAGGATCCAAGGGCGGCTGCGGTAGCTGTAAACCACCAGGCCCACCTGGGGAGAGAGCAGGGCTCAGCCCAGCCCTTAGCACAACAGCCCCAGGGCAAGAGGGTAGGGGGCAAGTCAGGGGGTGCACAGTGAGGCTGATGGGGGCAGGAGGCCCCGGCCCCTGGGGAGGCAACCAGGCTAGTACCTGGGTGGCGTCAGGCCCCAGCTGGCCCAGGGCAGACACAGTACTGGCAAGCAAGGCGCGAACGGCTCCAGCACTGAAGGCGCTGTCCTGGGTGCCGTGTACCAGGAAGACGATGTCGCTACGGCCACCCCTGCAAACTGGAAAAGGATGAGGCATGAGGATGTCAGCAGGGTGAGGGAAGGGGAGGTAAACCTCAGCCCTGCCCAGCTGGGCAGATGCCCAGTGGCCTGAAAGTGAAGAAGCCACTGTGCTCAGTGCCTCTGCCCTAAAACAGGCCTGCCCCCTTGTACGTGCCCATCCCAGGAGCCCTAGAGAGAAAAGCTAACAGCCTGCCTCCACTCCACAAGCCAGCCAGTTCCCCACCACACCCCTGGCTGAGCTGGACCTGGAGCCTGGAGAAGGACACACCAGCCAGTGCCTACCTTGGCGCTCACTGAAGGAGGAGGCCGCACCCACAGCACTACCATACATGGGCCGGATGCTGAAGGTGTACCTGCCTCCCAGCCGCAGCCCAGACACCTGGTGGGAGGTCGCTGACCCAGGCAGAGTTGTTTTCATCTCGCCTCCCTCTGACATGAAGGGATACAAGGCACATTCACAGACACATTTTGAGGCAAATGAGCCCAGCAAGGGCCTTATCCCCTCCCCATACCCTCCCGCAGGACCCCACCACCCTCCACAGTGGCTAGGAAGATATGTTGGAACTGGGGACCAACAGGTATCCAGCTTTGATGGAGATGGGTACTCTCCTTCCTAGCTTCCAGGCTGAGCTCGAACACCATTGCTGGATGCCAGCCACCAGGGCATATATTTGTGGCAAGGCCTCCAGTCCAGACACTGCCCCAGTGCCCCTCACAAGCGGAGGGACCTGAGCCTCATAAGGGTGGAGCCAGGACCAAACACCAGTGCCGTGAGCTAGGCTTGCATAAGAGTTTCCACAAGCCTTGTTTTCTCCCAGCCCCAATACCCTGTACACCTTCAGCCAGGCCTATCACAGCACTGTCTTGGGGGACAGAGAAGCCAGGGAGGAGCCGGGTCTTGCTGGGGACCAGCGTGAAAGTGAAGTCCAGGGCTCATCTCCCTACAGGAATCCCCTGCTTCAAACAGCCACAGGGCCTGGCTCCAAGCAGGCCCTGATATAGCGATGCAGCCTGGAGGCAGCAGTGCTGACAAGCCCCTCTGTACCTGTGGGGCTGTTCCACGTGAGGATGTAGCCAGTGGCACCGGGCGCAGGAGTCCAGGTTAGCAGTGCAGAATCATCCCGGGTCTCTGCCAGATGGAAGTTGGTGACTCGGCCTAAGGCTGTTTAAAAGGGAAGGAGTGGGGGCTGCAGCGGATGCCTTCCCCTGCAGCCAGGATCCAGCCCCAGCCTCGTGGGGACGCAGGGCAGGAGGGGTCCTGGGACAGTGAGGCCTGCAGCTGCAGTTCCTAGACTCTCCACCAGATGGCCCCCCTGCTCCACCCACAGCTCACTGCAGGGAGCAAGGGGGTCCCCTAAGGCCCTGAGCCCAGCAGAGCACTCAAGTGCTGGGGAGAGCAGCTTTCTGCCTCCCTCAGCCTCCCAGGGAGGCCATGGGGAACAGCTGGCACAGGAGGGCTCCATACAGGGAGGCAGAGGGCTGTCCCTTACCAGTAATGGCTGTGATGGCCACAGGCTTGCTCTCCTGGCTGCCCACCAAGCTGACAATGCGGATCTCGTAGCGCTTTCCGGCCTGCAGGCCCTCTATGTTGTATGTGTCAAGGCTGGCTGGGAGCACCTGGCTTCTCTCAGGCCCACCTGCCCCATAGGAGAGAAGGGGTGAAGCAGGCTGGGCCAGGTGTGCCATGGGTGCTGCAGTGGGGGGATGTACACACCATCTACTGGGCGCCAGCTCAGGCGGTAGCCAGTGCTGCCAGGCACCGGGGTCCAGGAAAGACGGATGCGCTGATCTGAAGGGTCAAAGGCCTGAAAGTTCCCCACGGGCTGGGGTGGAGACACCTCCGCTGCTGGAGAGGCACAGACAGGAGGGACAAGGGGTTAGGAAGGAGGGAATGCGCCACACAGAGCTCTGGAGCAGAGGAGACTGGTGCCTCCTGAATCTGGGGGGGCACCCACAGACACTGCTGGTGTTGTCAGCAGCAGGGCTGGAGCTGGCAAGCATCCACAGATGCTGGCGGTGGGGGCAGAGCTGGCAAGTTCCCACAGATGCTGCCAGCAGCGGGGTCAGAGCTGGTGAACATCTGCAGACACTGCAGGGTCAGAGCTGGCAAGCATCCGTAGATGCCACCGGCAGTGTCAGCGGCAGGGATGGTCCTGTCAGGGAGGGCACATTCTCCCGTGCCCCCCTACATGTCGCCTATGCCTAGGAGGGTAGATGGGCCAGGAAGTCTCAGGGCAGGACCCCTCAGGTCCCTCCCCAGGCTCAGAGGCACCTGCAGGGCACGGAGCTATCAGAGGCCAGCAAGCAGCTCTCAAGACTACTCGTAGGGACTGACTGGGTGCCTGCCCCATGATGGACTCTGCCTCTCCCAGAACCAGCCATCTGCCCAGGCCATGGACCCCAGTGCACTGAACCACTCCTGCCCACAGCCCACGTGGAGGCTCCCACCCTGAGACCAGGACCTGGGTGACCTTCGCTTCCCCCCCAGCCGGGCTCCTCACGGCGCAAGGCTGGAACCTACGCGTGGTGACGGTGATGGAGACAGGGTTACTCTCACGGTTGCCGATCAGTGCTGTGACCTTCACGATGTAAGTGACGCCGCCCTCCAGGTTCAGGATGTCGAAGGAGCTGGTGTTGCCAGAAACCACATTGCTGCTCTCAGGGCCCCCTGCAAAGCAGCAGGGGGTTAACTCAGCTCCCCAAGGGCAGTAAAGGATTGGTGTCATAAGGGAGCACTTATGCCCAGCACCAAGGTTTGTGACTATCACAGGGCCCAAAGGCTGGAGAGGAAGTCCACTGTGCGTCAAGCAGGCATGAAATGGGGCGATGGGTCCCTGCAGGCCCACGCTGGCCTGCAGCTCATGAAGCTGGGCTGAGATTTGGGGCGCTGGAACGTGCAGGCAGCATGGCCTTGTACTTTACCATCCTGCCGGCTCCACACCACCCGGTAGGCTGTAGCCCCGGACACCCCGGCCCAGGCGACTCGGATAATGTTGCTCCTGGGCGCAAAGACCCTGAGGCCGGAGACCATTCCCACCTCCTCTGAAGCTGTGGGAGAAGGACAGCAAGATGCTGGGATCACTTGGGATCGCAGCTGCAGAGCCAGTCCCAGGGGGCAGGGACAGGAACAGGGGCAGGGGCTGGGGCCCACAGGCCAGACCAGACCTCACCTGTTCTAGCAACAATGGTGACGGGGCTGCCCTCCCTGCTGCCCACCAGGGCCGAGACCCCAATGATGTAGTCGGTCTTGGCCTGGAGCCCTTCAATGGTGAAGGACGTCGTGTCGGGTGACAGCACCCGGGAGATCTCCTGCCCTGTGGGGAGAAAAGGACAAAGAGCAGTGAGTGGCTTTCCTGGGCAAGGCACATACTGGAAGGGTCAAGGGCTGTGCTCCAGAGCCATGAGGCTGGGGCCACCAGAGCAGTGACCTCCTGAGCTCAGAGCAGGACTCTTGTCTGCATTTCATGGCCTGGCCCAGCCAGTAGCTGCCAGCTGGGTGTGACTCAGTGAAAGGGGAGCGGCTGGGATGCAGGACTCCAGACCAGGATCTTCTCTGGGAGCAATGGGATGGAGCATCCTCCTGCAACACCTCATGAGGCAGATGCTCAGGCCAGCAGCACAGAAGTGAAAAGCAAAGACCGCCCCACTCATCCCTCCAGGAACCTCTGGCAGCAGGCTCTCCCCTGCAGTGATGGGTCTGGCCCAGGAGAAAGTAGCAACATGCCCTCGATCCACAGTCCAGTAAGCGAAGGAAGCAAACAGAGCCCAGCCCCCTGCACTAACCATTATGCCATGCTGCAAGGTACATGCCCACATGGGTCATCTAATGGGGACAGCCCCCAGAGCCTGCAGCCAGTCTCAGCACTGGACAGCCTTACTCCACCGGAGGCCACATGCACTCCTGACACCTACCATCAGCCGATCGCCAAGTCAGCTTGTAACCTGTAGCCCCAGGGAGCCTTTGCCATGTGATCCGCAGCTGGTTAGGGCCAGCCTCTGCCACCTGCAGGTTGGTGATGCTGCCCACTGGTGATGAGTCTGAAGAGAGAGCACACAGGTGGGGGTGGGGAGTGGGGGGGTGCGTGGAGGATCATCCTGGAGCCAGACACCTCTGCCCTGCCCATCCTTCACACCCAGGGGCTGGCCCAGGAGTCCATACTGTGACAGTCCAACAGCCCTGCCACAGAGCGCCCCAGAGCAGAGGAGCTCTCCCAGTCCTGAAGCCCAGAGCCCAAGCTCTTCCCTGGAGTTTCTCCAGCACCTAGTGCCAAGATGCACAGTCAACTCTACTGAACAGTGCCTGGGAAGGGACAGGTGCCTGGCAAGGGCAAACTGACCACTGACCCCTCCTCCACCCCAGGCCAAGTCCTTGGGAGCTTGGGAGAGGATCCCTATTGCTTGCAGGTGATGGGCACACTCAGTCCAGCCTGGGCCTCCTGGCACTTAGCTTCCATACCCAGACGGATGCTGAGGGAGGCAGCACTGCCCTCCTGGCTACCAGCCAGGGCTGACACGCGCACCACGTAGACAACACCCTCCTTCAAGTCGTCAAGGTCCAATGTGGTCTGGCTGCCCGGGATCCGCCTCATCCTCTCAGTGCCATCTTCATGGGAGCCAGAAAGAAAGGGAAGTCTCAGGGCTCACTCGGGCACTGGTATCATGAAGTGTCTGCCCCCGAGGTGCGGAGGTATCCTGGCTGCCACCCTCATGGCTGTCTGCCTGCGACACCATGCCACGCTGACCCCAGATGGGCCTCAGCTTTTGGGATGGCACAGTCTCAGGAGAGGGGCCTACTGCCCCCACTACACACATGCCCAGTCCAAGGGGTAGGGTGAACACGGTTCTTCTGGGGCCTGGTTTACTCCAAAGGCTCAGGGGCCCTCAAGATCACTCAGACAGTGACTATATCACCCAGCAGTGGCCAGCTGTGCCAGGGGGGCTCAGCCTAATGGCACTCTGGACTCTGGCAAAGCCTAGGAGAGTAGGACAGGGACCGCAGCTGCCAAGTGAGAGGAGTCCGGCTCAATTCCCAGCAGTCCCAAGGGAACCTTTTGAATATGAGCCCAGTGCCTGGAAACCCCAGCCCTGGCCAAGGGGAAATGTGCAACTTCCCTGAGCAGGGTTTTGGCTCTGGGACCAGTGACGCGGGCTTTGCTGCTTATGTTATAAGCTAGGCCAGTGCTGCCCACCCAAACCTCCAGTCCTGAATTTAGCTGCATCGGGCACAGAATCTCCAAGCTCCTCCCCAGGAGTCCCCAGCTGCAGGGCTAGTACTAGCTGACTCCTCCCCAGCACCTTGCCCCCATGGCACCCATCCACAGAACTAGTGCCAGCTGTTGACTGCCCTCCACCCCCCAGCACTGCAGCACCCATTCACAGGGCACTAGCTGCCTACTCCTCAGCACAGAACATTCAACCGCAGGGCTGAAGCATGCTGGCTTTGCCCCAGTCCCAACACACCCGGCTCTGGAGCCAACACCAGCTACATGTATTTGCAGAGGCAGCAGAGTGGCTTGATGCATGGTGGCAGGGCAGCTGCTCTGATCACTTGCTAGGGCACAGAAATGCCAGTGCAAGGAGTATCCCTACCATTCACTGCAGCTGGTCCCTATGGGGTCTCTCTAAGGCCCCCTACCATTGCAGGGCATGATCTCCAGGGCTCTGCCCAGTGCTAGACCCCCAGGCCTCAAGGCTAAGCCTCAGGGGACAGAGGAGAGGCCTGTGGTGCTAAGGGAGGAGCAAGCTCTGGGCCCACTGGCAGCTCCAATTCTCTGTCCCTGTGAGGCAGACTCACCCTGGGAGTTGCGTACCACGATCTTGTACTCAGTGGCACCTGGGACCCCCAGCCAGGCCAGCCGGACCCTTCTCCCCACCGTCTCTAGGATCCGCAGGTTGGACACACTGCCCACCAGAGGCCGATCTGCAGCAGAACAGGACAATATGAGGGCCATGGCTCAGAGGCAGGGAGAGGCAGAGGCTAGGGCACAGCATAGCTCTATGCGGAGAGCGTGGAGCCCCGCAAGCCTTCAGCATCATCACAGCAGCACCAGCAGGGACTCAAGCTCTCATCCTCACCAGACCCAGAGGGTTCAGGCACCAGTACAGCTACATGGTGGGGTGGGGGTTGGAAGACTATACATACAGCCCAGCAAAAGAGGGCAACGTTGTCAGCCCCATGCTGTTAGGGAAGGGAAAGCTAAATGAGGTCTTGTGTAGGAGCTTGTCCCTAGTGGCCACCCCAAACAGGCATGTGCGTTTGTACATGTATGTGACGGCTGGACACGTTCAGGCTCTGGGCTTCCCCACCAAGTGCACAGGTTGCAGCCAGGGACTTACTCACCTATCTCAGAAGTGGTTACATCTGTCGCCACCTCCATCGTGTCAAACAGCGTGTACAGGGTGATGCGGTACTCCGTTTTAGGCTGAAGGCCTTTGAGCTCATAGGTGTTGACGCTGGGGGGCAAAGACAAAACCTGGGGGGCCTCCACTCCTGAGAACCACAACAGGGAATGGTCACTGTCCGCTTCCCAACACCCACCCCCCAGACCTCCCTGCTGGAACCCTGCTGAGTGGCCTGCTCTGCAGAGGTGCAGCCCTAGCCGTGGCTGACACCAATTTGCAGGGCCTGTGAGAGTCACCCTACCACCACCATACCCATAACTGGCCCTGCTCACCTGCTACTCTTTTCCACTCCAGCCGGTACCCACGTGCAGGACGGATGATGTTCCAGACCAACTGGATGGACGTTGGGCCCAGGAAAGTGGCTCGCAAGGTCTGGCTTATTTCTATAAAACAGACAGACAGTCAGGGTGAGCTCAGTACCAAAGAAGGGCCTTGCCAGAGCCTTGTGTTCCCCTGCCTATAATTCCTAGTCCATCTTTAGACGGGGCCTTTGGCATCCCAACCACCTCTGCAGCAGACAGCACCAGGTCCCAGAAGCTGGATCAAACATCACCTCGGTCTCCTCAAGGGTCCCTTCCTTCCCTCCCTGAACAGCACGGGTGGAAGGGAAAGTCTGTTGCAGCTCTACCCAAGGATGCAGCCTACAGGACTGGTAACTTGGTGGCTGGACAGGCTGAGAAACACTGATGCAGTGAAAGCATGGGGAGAAGAGGAAGGAAAAGGGCAAAGTAGGGCCTCAGCAGTGCAGGAGCAGCATATACTGTCTGCCCATCACAAGCAGGCTGGAAAGATGCAGAGCAGACCTGTCCCTCCTGGAAGGGGATGGAAATGTCAAAAGGCCCATCTGACATCCTGGGAACAGCAGCCCTTGCTTTTTGGTTCAAAGCAACTTCTCAGGTTGAAATCTGAGTTCACAGCTTCACCCCCTCCCTGGTCTGTGGGGGTGCCTTCTCCTCCCTTCCCTGGTCACTGCTAAGACCCCTTAGAGAGCATATGAGGCCCCAGGCTGGCACAGAGTGACAGCAGGCAGTACCATCCCCACCCCTTCACATCACTCCCCACAAGGGGAGACGTAAGCCAAGGCTGAGGCCACCCACACTGCTGTTGCCTTGTGCAGCCTGCTGTTTGCTGTTCCTGCTTCTTACCTTCATCACACACTCAGAGCATCAGCTGCCTGAGGCAGGAATGTTCTGATCATTATATGTGTGTGTGCATGTGCACATGCGCCTACACCTCTAGGTATGGGCTTATACTATGTCTGCTTTGTACGGGACCAAAATCAGGGCCTCCGAGCACTCCCAAAGCACAGAGAATGCCATTATCCCATCAAGTCTCCAGCCTCTTGGCACTGACCCAGGTCCCCACCCACCCAGGCTGAGGAGACTTCTCCCTTTCTAGGCACCCACCTGTTCTCCTCCTCACAGATGCTTTGGGCCCTTCAGTCTGCCCATAGAGCGGTGAGACGTGCACTAGGTAATCCGTGCTGCTCTGCAGGCCTGTCAGCAGGTAGGAATTCTTGCTGGTGTCCACATCCACTTTCCGAACATCCTGGCCTAGGGAAGTCCAGAGCAGAACAGATTAGAGGCCAGTTCAGGCCCTCTCCCGAAGGAGCAGTTCCCAGCAACACAGGGGTTTCCAAGCCAGGTCCCATTGATAGCCCTTCCCATGAGACCAGCGCGGCCAACCCCATCTCCCTACAACCAGCTCACACCAGATCAGGTAAAGGCTGGACTCATGCTCTGGCTGACAAATGTAACCAAATGTCAATACAATCCCCTGCCACATGCAAAGTTGGCTATGCCAGTAATAAAGAAACCCTGTACATGGCTTAAAGAAAGCCAGGGCACGAATGGGTAAGATGTTCCCCCTTCCCCAGGCCCACTGGCTGGCTCTAAGCATGCAGGGCCCAGTCCTGTCCTCTCTTTGCCTGCTGGACCTCTACAGGGCTCCAAGTTCCCAGAGGTCATGGGCTCAGGCCTTTAATCTGCAGACTATATAGCTGGGCCTTTGGGGAGGATCTCAGTGCTGGGTTCTGTGCAGCTCGCATGGCTTGTCATGCAGGCAACCAGTGAAACTGCTCCCACCCAGCTGCCTCCATCTCCCTCTCTAACATGTTCCTCCTTTTCCTTGGGTGGCAGGAGGCTCTGATCTCCACAACCCAGCAGCAAGTGCTTCACCCAAACCTCTGCTTCAGGGAAAAGGGTGAAAGCCCCATCAAGCATCAAGACAAGGCTGTCCCATCAGGGCAGGGAAGGGAAGAGAGGCCTCTGCCCCCCACAGTGCCCTTTAGAGCTGCCCTATGGCTCAGTGTGCTCAGCCCTCCAGAGTCCAGATCTGCCAGTCAGTCTTTGCCCTTGCTTCCCAGCACTGGGGGGGCTGGGCAGCCCTACCTGAAAGAGTGCTCCAGGAGACCCGGTATCCGGTAGCTCCCCTCACGCCTCGCCAGACCACCAGCATGCGATCCCAAGAGATGTTCTGAACTGTCAACTCTGGCACCCCTTCCATTTGCACTGTGGGGGAAAGCAACATGGCACAAAATGCAAGGCCTAGAAAAAGCAGCTTCTACGCAACCCACAAGATGACCAAAGGGGCCCACTCAGCCCAGGCAGGACACACAGGGACAGCAGCCCACATCTGACTCCTATGGACAGCAGAAATCAGAATGCTTCAACCCACCACAACCTCCCCCCCACCAAAAAAGTATATACAGAGAGATTATACACGACCATCAGTAACAGAGCTGTTTGAAATGCAAGAGCAGCCATTAATCTATCATCTACCATAGTGGATTAATCATGAACTGACACTGTTATACAATTGCCAGTTAATACAGTTAATTACTCTCCAGAAACACCAACAAGGTGCTTTACCAAAAGATTCCAAGCTCAGGAGCTAAAAGGAATATCCCCATCTAGTGAAAGCATCACCCACAGAGACCTATTCAGATTCCCAAATCAATGCAATACATTTTCTTTAAAAAAAAACAAACTACCCAGGTCAGAATTAAGGGTGTTTTGTTGTAATGGAAAATATGTATTTTTTTGTACTTGACATTTCGCAGCTGGCTGGAGGGGACCAAAAAAACCAGAATTATTTTGCAAGTTTCAACAGAGTTCAGACCCAAAGCTGGTTCTGTGATGCAGGTTTCAAGAGACCTATTTTCCCCATTTCTCTGAAATTTTTATCAAAATAACAGAATTTTTTTTGCTTCCTGAACACCAAGTGTTCTTCCTGAAAACCAACTTGCTGTATATACATAAGGTGCAGGGAGGAGTTTGAAAAAACTTTTAAAGACAACTTTGGAACATTTCATGAGAGAGGGAAAAGCTTTAATAAAAAACATTTTTATGTTTTTTGAACCAGGGGTAATTTTTAACATTCATCGTCTGAAAGGAAACATTCTGTGCAAAAAATAATTTTAACCAGTTCTGACATGAAGGAGTTTGTTCTTGACCAGATGGGGGATGCCCCTCACTTCCCAATCCTCTGCTGGAGCTCTGCATAGGGTGTGGTGTTTGGAACCCCTGCTCATTGTGTCTGCCAGGGACTGACTCATCATATGAGTACTTCAGTGCCATGGGAGAGCAGGCAGGAGGAAGGGGCACAGGATGCCAGGATGTAATCCTTGGGGTCTCCCTTTCAGGGGCACAGTGGGGAACTCTATCAACAGGAGCCAGGCACTCACCCCAGAATGATAGCAACCCCCCACCGTATTGCACTGGGTGGGTGTCTCTGCACCCATCCCGCACAGGAGCTGGGTGGGGGAGTTGTTCCTTAGCTGAGCAGACCAGACCCACAAGCATAGTCCCAGACGCTGAGAGTCCTACCTCTGGTGCTGCACAGATGGAATAGGATGACGAGCACCATTTGTGCAAAGCCATTAGCCCATGTCTAGCAAACCACGCACCACCGTCCGTCCCACCTGCCAGGACACCACTGGAGACAGTCTAGAGCAGCTGAGGGAGGCACCAGGCTCACAGAGGCCCCTATGCTCTGGGCAGCTTGCCCCAGAGCGCCCTTTGGGTGGGACATTTCTCTGCTGAGGCCCCCAGCTGCTGGCTGCCCCCTACAGATAGTACTTACAGGTCCTGGCGTTGGCCACAGCTGGAGCTGCCGTATGCTGCAAGTAGTGGGGGTAGAGGGTGACCACGTAGTCAGTGTTGGGACGCAGGTTGCTGAGTACAGCAGACAAAGCGTTGGCCCCCAGGCTCATCTCCTCCACCTGAGCCTCACCTGGGAGGGATGCAGACAGCGATGGGTGAGAAGTGCTCTGTGTCTAGGGGAAATGTTCCCAGTCTGAGGGTGCTGTTCACTGCAAGGTAATGGGACCTGGACAGCCCTGCTGACCTGATGGGGAGCCCTGGGTGCCTCCAAGCTGGTGTGACCCCATGTGAGCCTGGAGTACAAGCACACATATGATGGGCTCCATAGCTTGGGGTTACACATGTGTTAGCACATAGGTACTAACAGTCCATGTAAGAAGCCAAGCAGCCATTGCCTGTCCAGGGCTGGGTCAAGGGAGCAAGGGGCCCAGCATCCCCTCTACAGCTGCTGTGAGAAGTGAGTGACCTCAAGGAAGGGACTCCCCGGAGGTGGTGCTAGGTCAGTGCCTTCAGCCTGGTACTGGGTACAGGCAGGGTGCACAGCTGGTTCTGCTGAGCTAAGCAGCATGGCAGTGCCCACGGGGCCTGAGTTCTGGGCTGGGAGATGCACTGCCAGGGCAGCTGGGCGTAGCCGCATGCAGGGCGAGCTGCCAGGGCCACATGCAGTGCACTGGCTGCAGGCTTGGGAAGGGCAGCTCCAGGTGCAGCTCCGTGCCCACAGCAGCACCAGGGAGAGTGGGTGGGTGCAATGAGCAGGGTTCTTACTGCCCCACACAACACCACGCACATGCACTGGGCCTTATCTACACACCACCACAGGTGCTGTGGCCTCTGCAGACCTGCCCTCCCCGACACTGTATATACATGCTGAACTCCTCCTACACATCCCCAACCATCCACCACAACACGTGTTACAGCCCTGCATTCACACACTGAACGTCTCACCCACACCTCACCTACACCCTCATTACGCGTGCTGAGAATCTTCCCTGTACTCCCAACCACAGTCCTGTGCACCCTCGCAGCAGCAGTGACCCAGCCCTGTGCACCCACACAGCAGCACACATCTGACCTCCAGCAGGCTCCAGTCCTCCTTCAGAGGCCCTTGGCAAACACAATCAGAGCCCAAAGCACCCTCTGCCTCCTGCCCCAAGGCATAGGCACCTCCATGGGGAGGATGTCTTGTAGAAGCAATACTGGTGTGTATGTCTGATTCTTGGACCATGTAATGGGCTCCACGTTCACCCATCTAGATATCCACATGTCTGTCTGCTTCCTGGTACAACCAGTGAAGTAGCTGGACAAAGGCAGGGTAGGGAGAAGGAGGTGCAGAGACCATGCTAGATGCTTTTCCTCCAGCTCTCCTACCTGGCTGAGTCCTAGGGCTGTGGAGAAAGGCCTGCCCAGACACAGGCTTCCCACCCTGCTGGAACAGATCCAGGCTCCACGCCCTTCATGGGAGGGAGTCAGTCTGGAGCATGGTTGGGAGAGAAGACAGCTCCAGGGATCACAGAGCCCCGGAAGAGGTGGAACCCACTTGGCCTGGTCTCCTCCCCTCTGCCCTCACCTCGAGCACCATAGGTGAGCCTGTAGCCCTGCAAGGAACCCAGGCCAGGTTCCCAAGCCAGACGGAGGAAAGAGGATCCAGCTTCCACCACTCGGAAATTCACCACTCCAGGGAGGGGCTCTGAAAGAGAATCACACAGGCCTGTTAGCTCAGCCCGTGCTCCTGCCCCCTGAGGTCAAGGGGCACCAAATCCCATGAAAAAAGGAAGCTTAGCCTCACACCCACAAGCCCCTCTGCCCACCATGAGGCATGGAGCCATCCAACAACAAGGAGACAGGTTGTGGGTGGTGGCAAAGTGACTTCCCCTTTCTAGTCAGGAGACAAATGCCAGGCCCAACTGGGCAGTACCCTCTGAGTTGGAGCAGAAATGACTAGGCATCCTGAGCACCACCAAACCCACCCATGTCAAACCCACCCTGTCGTAACTGGTGGCCGGAAAAACCATACCCTGGCCTGGGAGAAGGGGGCTCATCCCCAAACAACAGCCAACCATACAACCAGAAAGCCCATGCGCACTTCAAGGCCCAAGCTGCCCTACAAGTGGAGAGGGTTCATCCACCAGGTGTCCCCCAGATGTGGAAATAGTCACAGAGCCTGGATCCCATGCCTGGGGTTGGGGGTGGACAAACACACCCTCCCTCTGACCGAGCGGGTTACTCACGGGTTTGTCCTCTGCCGGAGACTGATTCGCCGATACTATTGGCATACTGGGCGATGATGGTGACTAGATACTCTGTTCCTGGCCTCAGCCCGCGCAGCACAACACTCGTCTCCCTGGGGGCAACGTTGATCTGTCCAATGGCAGTAGAAATAGTTACAGTGGGATCCATGGCAGTGCACATCCTCAGGACTAAGAGAGAATCCACTGCCCCATGCTTCACATGAGGAGCGCTCTCACACAGCATGGTCAGAGCTGGGGCATCAGCAGCCCCCATCATCTCGCCACCTGCCCCCACTCTTAAGGCTTCTGATTGTTCCATGAGAAGGCTTGAAAACCAGTGGAGACAGCAGCTGGGAAAGGCAGTGGTTCCTGTCAGAACAAGAGTTCTCCCTTGCCCCAGGGGGCATGACACCAGGTGATGGGCTTAAGCTGCAGCAAAGCAGATTTAGCTCAGACCTGAGGAAGAAGCACCGTGGGTGTCCAAGCAACTGGACAGAGAGACAAGCTGCCCAGGGAAGCTGTACAGTCTCCTGCATTGGAGGTTTTCAAGATGCCAGCATTTAGCGTAAGAGCAGCACATTCTGCCTTGGAGCAGGGGCTGGAGCAGAGAGCGCTTGGGATCCTTCCTTCTCAGCCCTAAGATCCCAGCATTTCCAAGGCTTCTTACTGCAGCTGCTTCCCCATCACTGCCTAGTGCTGATCAAGGAAACACGCTGAGTGAGAAGACTGGCAGGTCCAGGGACCATGGTTAGGCAGTTACCTAGGTACAGGTGAATTACAGAGTAGAGAGTAGGGCAGAAAGACACCAGGTCCTTACGCCATTTTTCCATTTCACAGCAATGCAGAGAGCCAGGATTTGCTCAGCAAAGGACTGTGACCCATGTTAGGTAGCTTGGTGGACTGTGAGTTCACCAGGTGCATGGAAGTGGAGCGTGCTATCTCCCTGCAGTGGCACCCAGCCTGCTCACGGAAATCTAACAGATGGTGCTGCCTGCTGGATCCAGCCCACGGGAGGGTGGCCTCTGAAGGGATTTCAAACCGTACACTCCCTTAAGGGGCTGAGTGAAACCACCACCCCCACTAAAGGCTGTGAGCTCCCACTCTAGCCAACAGGCAAGCTCCTCTCCCATAAAGTGCTTTGTCAGTGTGCAGCTCACGCCAGCAAAACCCCCTTCTCAGAGGGCAGTGACCAACTTCTCAGGGGACCCAATCACCCACAGCCTCTTGGCTCAAGCTGGCTGCCAAGTGGCCGATCCCCGCAGGGACAGGATGTACTCACCTCCTTCATCTCTGCCATGATCTGCTGCCCCAAGCTGGTGAGCGGCAGATAGTGGATTCTGTACCCCGTGACAGGTCCGCCCGCTGCAGCCCAGCGGATCTTTAGCAGGTCAGTGCCCTGCTCAACAAAGACCAGGTCGGTCGGGCCACTGTACACCTCTTGGCCTTAGGGGAAGGAGAGCAGAGTCAGGATCCCAGGGTGAAAAGTGAGAACACCAGCCTTCTGCCACCCCATGCAGGGAACCCCCGTGGAGGTCAGCAGGAAGGTAATAATCCCAAGGGAAGCACAAAGAATCCAGGCTTGAGGCAGGAGAGGAATAAGCCAGGCTGGACACCAATCAGCAAACCATCCCTGGAGCCAGGTGAAGCCCCATTGCCATGTCCCAGGGTCAGACCCAGCCTGAGCTGGGCCCTAAAGTCAGCATCATGTCAAGGAAACATGGAAATGAAAAGGTTAAAACTTAACCTTTCACAGGCAACACCAGGAACTCAGCAGCCAAAGCTGGTGCCTGAGAAACAGAGTGAAGTATTTTCCAGAGCGGGGCTGAGGGCAGAAGGGCCCACCTGATCCCAGTGGGGAGATGAGTAAGGCCCCCCAGGCTTTGGAGGCCAGAAAGCAAGGACAGTCACTGCAGTCAGGAGAGATGTGATCGGATGCAGCCAGAGCCTAGAGAGTCCCACAAACCCCTTCCCTGCCTTACCTGTGGTCTGCAGGACTCCTCCAGTGCTGGCACACACCCTACGAGACACCAGGGGCAAAAGGGTCCCCAGGATCTTGAAATCATTGACATAGAAAAAATAGTCCTCAGTGGGAGTGGAGGCCACCCTGATGAGCTCCCCACGGTCCGCATTCTTGATCCCTGTGGGGGAAGCATGGGTGAGCGGGGCACCAGGGCTCTCTCTTGCACCCTGATCCTGCCCCTCTCCACCATCCCATGCACCCATGCCCAGGCACCTGCCCTCCTGGCTTTTAGTGTGCCAGAGGTTCAGGTGCTAGGCTCCCAGGGTTAGTCAGAGTGTTGGGCCCCAAGTGCACTCTGCCTGTCCCTGCTGGCTCCTCTACACAGCTGGCCCCCTCACTCCCAAGCAGGGCAGAGCACTGGAGTTTAGCCTGCCCTGGGCTTCTGCCCCAGCACCACCCAGCCCTCTCCCAGTTGCTAGAGGATCAGGCTTGTCCAAGCCCTGCTGCCCTTCTCTTCCCTGCTACCTGGTGAAGACAGATACCTTCAAGGCCTTGTGGTCACATGCCCTACATACCCACAGCAAAGATCTTCACATCCTGATTCTTCATCCGCGTGGCTGGTTGCTCAGCATCATCCTGGGATTTGCCATCCGTGATGAGGATGCAGACCTGCCGGGTGGGGAAGGAGGCGAGTACCTCAGCTTGGCAGGCACAGCAAGAGCATCTTAGCCAGGTCCCTCGCTGCCCTCACATACCGCACAGCAGGGCCTGCCCCATCCCATGGGCTCACCCCAATCAAAGAAGTGGCAGATGTACGGAGACCCCAGGACTGTTGGGGTCTGAAAGAAGGACAGATGCTGGGCAGGTGCATTGTTCTGCAGGGGCTGATGCACCTTCCCTCCCCACCTGCCTGCCCAGCCTTCCTCCTACCATTGGAGGTGGACAGGCTTGCCACATGGAGCTGGAGTAGCGGGGAACCTAACCCTGCTTCCTTGTGTTGGCCTGCCCCAGAATGAGGGACCTGGAATACAGGCTAGCCTGCTCCATCCAAGGTAGAGCTGAGTAGCTCGACCAGGCAGGTCAGGCTCTGGTATGGCACCAGCAGGGTTTCCCTGGCGGTACCTTTGGGACACTCTGCCGGATCTGAGCAGGGCTGAAGAAGTTGTCGGTGACGTATCGGAGGCCGGCACCAGTGCGTGTGTTCCCGCTCTTGTAGCTCAGCTGCTGGATGGCCTTCCTCACTGCCGTCCCGTTGGAATAATCAGAGAACCTGAACTCCACCCTGCAGGCAGACAGGGTCCCAGCAGGGTGAGGCGAGAGTCAGATCCCAGCAGAAGCCATCCAGAAGCCATCCCATGGGGCTCTAACAGGGGATGGCTTGGGGATGGTGCAGAGCAGGGCAGATGGGTCCCCAGGAAAGTGAGCTCAAGGGCTGCAAGGCTTTGGGAGCTGTCAGCCCTTTTAATTCTGCCCGATCTACAGTGAGTCACCATCACTCTCCCAAGGGGAGTTGAATGCCGCAGCCCATAGCAGGGGCCGACACCAGGAGCCCTCCCATCACTCCTCAGATGCCCCCTGACCACTGCAAGCCACAGACAGAGTGATATACTCCCACCAGAGATGGGAGGTGGGACTGGGGCCCCGGAGGACTCACCGGGGGTCGTCGCTGTACTGCACCACCCCGAACCGCACAGCCTTCTCCCCCACCACATGGATGAAGGGCCTGACCAGGTCCTCCATGAAGGCTCGGACCATGCGGAAATTGGCCCGGCCGATGCTGGAGGAGCCGTCCACCAGGAACACTATGTCAGCTGCGTAGACGTTGACGCAGGTCTCTGCAGGGCAATGCCAAGCAGCTCAGGGCCAGCTCCCTTGGCCCATGTAGGCAGGGCAAGCAGGAGGTGTCCCCTCCATGATGGAAGCTCAGAAACAGGCCCAGCAGAGAGGCTCACTGCAGAGGCCACCACCACAGCCTGCCCCTTTACTGCGAGGAGCCCCAGGGAGAGACAGGCCCAACATAGGCAGGCAAACCCCTCACAGCTTAGAGGGTATCTCCTGTAAGCAGGCAGGGCACCAGCATGGCCAGCACCCTGCCGGGGCCTCAGGGGCTCTTACCCCCTTTGCAGAGTCCTGTACTGGGTTCTCAACCAGGTGCCACATTCCTTCCTGCCAATTGCAGGCTGCTGAGAGGGGTCAGGGAGCCAGAGCACAGCAGATGCCACCCCTCCCCTGAGATCTAGCACAGCCGCTCGCAGGCACCACATTGCTGCAGACGTCAGTCCGAGCCAGAGCCAGCTGCAGGCCCCAGAGCCATGTGGGCTGCAGAGATGCTCCATACCAAGGTCCTTGGACTTGGTCCTCCTCCTCCTGCCACCCCTGTGCATTAGCACAGGGAAGTTTCCAGCCCTCCCACGGCAAAGCCCCCAAGCTGCCTCCTGCCCCAGGGCCAGGGAAGGTGCTGGTCCATGCACACACGAAGTGGGATAGGCAGAGACAGCAGCATCCAGGCCAACCCCCAAAGCAGCACTGTCTACATGCTGCAGCCAAACAAACTGCCCAGCCTTCCACAGAGGATGTGGGGCAGCAGCAGGTGAGGGAGGTAGCCGGCTCTGCCCCCCATCCACCTCTCTCCTAGCAAAGCTAAGGCTCTCCTTCTGGCCTTAGCCCTATTTTGCCTCGGGTAGGGCATGGAAGAGTAGGGGTCAAAGGTAGGGAAGGTCAAACATGCCAACATCTCCTGGAACGAGCCTGATCTGGGTCCTGCCATGCAGCATGCAGGGCTCTGTGGGTAACCATCCTCCCTGCCCCCCTGCCGGCAGCAGAGAGCAGGGAATGGGCCAACTCTCCCAGCATCCATGCTCAGAGGACACTATGGGGCATGGGCTGATTTGAGAGGGGGAGGCTGGGACCAGACTGAAGCTACTCAATCCAAGCTCCTTTGGCTAGGCAGCAACTCCTGCCCCCAACACCACCTTCTCTGGCCCCAGCTGTGTCTCCAGACATGGTGCTCAGAGCACCCCACCCAGAGAGCACTCACCTTGGTTCCTCTTCTGGGCTGTCACTGGTGCCAAGGCCAGGAGCACGGCTTGGAGCCTGGCGAGGAGCAGGACCCACCCTCTCATCATGGGACCCTGCAAGACATGAGGCAGGTGCTGAGCCCAGGAAAGAAGCAGAGAAAGCAGGAGGGCTCCCCTCTCAGCAAGGCAGTTGGGGGAAGAAGGGGGCAGGCTCCCAGAGAAATGGCCAGGGTGCACTCACCCCAGTGCACAGAGGGAATTACCAAAACTAGCTGGGACCCAAGCTCTGATCCATGGCCAGATGCAAGGAACCCCTCACACACCCCTGCAGGATAACTCACCCACACGTCCTGAGCCTGGGCACCTTCACCCTGCCATAGCCACGGGCCCTTTCACTCCCTGTAAAGCTCCAGCCCTGTTTGAGCTGTGCTAAGTTCTGGGGCTCTCTGAGCTGTGGTGGCAGCAGGATCTGCAGGTTAATGGGGCTAAAGAGTAAACCTGCTGCCTATCATTGCACTGCAACCACCCTGTCCCTGTGGTCCATTCTACCTGCTCTGACCCCGTCCCCGCCCCATGTAACTCCAGCTCTGTGTTGTTCAGCTGGGAAGTCCCACCACAGCCAGGGGGAAGGGGAAGGGGAAGCAGAAGCAGAAGCCACATGGCATCATGGGCACTTTTATTACATCAAGCAAAGCAAACCTTTTCCCATGCACCTCCCTTCTGAGGGCACAGCTTTCCCCAGCAGCCCCTTCGCCATGTCGTGCTCCCCCCTACCCCCAACACACAAGCAACAGGGCCAAAGTTTTTCAAATGCTGATACCTTTATATTTTCACTCTTCACAGGGAATGTGAAGGGACTGCCAACATCTCTGCCTTCAAATATGAAGCCGTGCTCATGAACTAACTGTAGAAAATGGCATTGTGCCCCCTCTGCCAGGGCCAGTCATGTCAGGCTCTCCCAGGGGCAGCTTCACTCCATCTCTACCCACAAAGGAGTCTGGGTGGCCTGTACTGAACACAGCTTTCCAGCTGGGGACTTGGCCTTTATGAGCACAGCACTTATTTCTCCCCCACTCCTTCTGCACCCTAGCTCTTCAACTGCCCTTTTCTTGGGTGGCTGGAGATCTCAGAGCTGTCCACAGTGACTGACAGGGCTCTGCCCAGAGCTATCGCTGCTAATCTATAGCCTAGCAATGGATACAATCCATGCAGTTCATTCCTTCCAACACCCATTATTCAAGCCCAATACACTGCTTGAATTAACAGGCAGTAATTTTAACAGCTCAATACCATTTCCTGGTAGCATTTGCCATTGCAGGACTTTATAGTGGGAAGCAGGTTGGTAAGATTCTGTTTAGGGTTAGACCATTTTCTGACTAAGAACAGCATGGGCAGAGACAGGGGTTGCTCCAAACTCTACCGAATCTGATGCTTCACAGAATGCAACTCACCAGCTGGGGCAGCAGGTCAGAAAAAAGCCCAGCTGACAGAGTCAAGTTATAAAGACATACGGGTGCCAGGGTGGGAGAAGGGAAATGTAACATCCATCCAAAGCAAGGACAGCTGTCAGCTTCTAGAGAAGCAGTAGTGACCTAAAGCAGCCCTCGTGCCTTCTGCTGCAGATCCCGGATGGGGCAGGCTGGTAGGAACAGCACAGCAAAGCACTGGCTCAGACTTCTCAGGCCACCACTAAAAGGGCAGCAATTCAACCAGACTGGCTTTTGTTTGACAGCCCATCCATCCATGCACTGAGCTCTCCTGCATCACACCGGCCCCCAGCCATTGAGCACTGACATGGAGAGACTGGGATGGCAGAGGATAGGGGAACCATGGCGAGGAGAGGAGCCAGGGGCAAATGGCCATGAGCTCCAAACATGGAGCTTCACTGTCCCCTGAGCAGAGTAGCTTCCAGCCCATCCCTGCCTCAAGCTCCACTAAGGGGCTGCAGAGGCCTACTCTCCACGCAGCCCTGCACGGCTTCATTAAAGCCCAGCTAGAAGGCTGTACGGGCTTTGGACAAACTGGCACCTCACTGCTTGCAGCCCTGCTCACTGCAGATCAGCCAACCCAGTTTGAGCCAGTGCAGAGGGAGGACAAGGCTGCCATACTGCATCCCGGGCAGCCTCCCAGCTCGAGTCACACGGGTGTGAATTCTAAGATCATGCAAGCCCTCAAAAGGCAGCCAGCGCCCTGCCCAGCTGGGCACGAAACAGTCGCCTCAGGCTTCCTCCAGCTTTTCTAATTAACCTGGAGTCCACAGCTGCCAAATGGGGCTGAGCTGTGGCCCAAATAATACCCCACCCTGGGATCGGGCTTCTCCACTGCGGGCTTTGAGAGGGGAGGAGCGGTATTATGCCCATATTACTGAGGGGAAGGTCACACAGCCAGTTTGTGACAGAGGGGAGTGGAACCAGCCCAGGGCTCTGCCCACTGGAGCCTCCAGCACTGGAGGGAACCAGGGAGCTCCTCTGGGCTCTGGGGCATCGGCTCCTTCCCGAGTCCCTGAGGGCTGTTCTGCACAGGCTGTGATCTGCACAGAGCAGCATGCAGGAGATGCTTTGGCAGGGCCCAGGCGGCACGTCTGGCTGAGTGGGCTGCGTTCGCACACGCTCAGCAGTTGGGTGAGGAGCCTGAAGCACCATGCATGCAGGGCCGGGCTGCGCAAGGAGGACTGGTATGGGCAGAGCCAGCCAAAGGGGTGGGGAAGGGGCTCTCTGCCAAATCCACTGGAGGCCCCTTCCAACAAAGGCTGGAGCTCCTGGGAACCTGGGTGGCAGCCTGGCACAAGTACACAGCACCGGGGTCCCTGCTCCTCTGATGAACATCAAAGGGGATTCTGAGGTCCATAACCGTCGGTGCTGCAGGCCACAGGCACGATGGCAGCACCCCCCGCCCAACACACACATACCCACCCCCCCATGCTGGCAGCCAAGGCCAGAGGAATGCTGGCTCCCAGGCAGCTCCTAGCTCCCCGGCTCCTCCCTTGAAAAGCAAAGAGAGCATCAGCTGGAGCTGTGTAGCCCTGGAGGAAGCCAAGGAAGCACACACCCCATTGCCCCCCACCCCCGAGCACACAGTACCCCAGGGAAGGATGCACCGCACAGGCTGAGCTCCCACACCAGCCCCATGCCAGCCCCCCCCCCTTCCCACTGCTCACTCAGCAGCCCTTGGCCCCAGGAAGAGTAGACCCTCCACCCTGCTGCTGCAAAGAAGGCAAATCCAAGCCACCTCCAGCCACCCAGGCTGAAGGTCAAGGTCAAGGCAGAAACACCCCCAGGAGGAGCCGGGCCAAGATCTCGCTCCCCAGGACTCCAGCCAGCAAAGCTCAGGCCAATTCACAGCCCTCGCATCTGCATCTCCAAAGTTCCCCCGGTGTCAGTGAAAGCTGAGCAGGACCAGCAAGGCAGCAGGGCCAAAGGGCACCACAGGCCACTGGGGTCTCTAAACCCCAAGCTAGCAATGGCACCCCCAGCATGGCACATCCTGCCCCACAGCCCCTAGATCAGCAGGAAGCAAACGGGCAGGCGGGTTCCCCCTACAGACCAGGTGCCCAAGCATGCCGCACACACGGTGGCAGTGAGATAACATCCCCAAGCCTCCCAGCTTCCCTTCAGCCCCTCCCAGCAGCCCCCAGGCCAGCTGCATGCCCCTCAGTGTGACTGTGGCAACAGGGCCTGGGAGCACCCAGCAGAGGAGTGTGCGGGTATGGGCAGCCATGGGAGCCTGCCGTGCACACACACATGCAGAGAGCAGAGCCGAGTGAGCTACAGCAGTGTGTGCAGTTGGTCACAAGCATGAGTACTCGGTCTTCATCTGATCGAGCCTCAATTCTCTGTTCCCTGCTACCGTCCCTTGGCCTGGCCGATGGCCCCACTCACCTCCCACCGGGCACTTAGCTCCACAGGGCCCCGGGAAAGTCAGAGCCTGCCAGAGCTGCTCCAAGGAGCTGCGGGTCCTGTTTGCAAGGAGCGTCCTGCCATGAAGATCCCGCCCTCCGGGTGAAGGGTGAGCACAGAATCCACCTCCCCAGCCTCCGCGGCCCATCCCTTCCCCACTCCCCTCCTCCTGCCTCCCTGCTTCCCTCCTCCACTGAAAATGCCCAGGCCAGCTGAGCAGCCTGCACTCCCCATGGCCCAACCAGTACCCCTCTAGCTCTCACCTCTGCAACTGGGTGCCCAGGCAGTGTTGTGGTGGCACCACAAATGCTCATTCCCTACAGCCGACACCTGCCCGCACCCTGAAAGTGGTGTGGGTGTGCAAGAGGAAGGGAATCAGAAGGCATCACCTTGCCAGAAAGATGCTAAAGGCTCTCCTAGCAGAGCCAGATGCACAGGGGAAGATTGAGCTGGTGCCAGAAGATGCCCGTGCCCTAGGTGTGTACAGTGGCAAGCCAAGAAACAAGCACTCCTTGGCTTGGCTCCCCAGCAGAACAGATCCAGTGGGATGTTGTGGCCTGGCAGTGCAGGGGCAGGTGGGACTAATCTAGAGGTGCAGGCACAAGACAGAGAGCCTGGGCAGCTACAATGATTGTAGCTCAGCCACAGCACACTGCAACCTGACCCCCAAGCATACCACCTTCTCTGGGTAACTCCCACAGCTGCCAGGATAGGCTCATCTTCCCCCACCTTTTCAGCCCCGGCACTGAGGGAAAGTGGCCACCCAGCTGCCTACACAGGGGCCTGTCCCCAGCCAGGGGCATCCCACAAGTGCCAGGGGGCAGGCACGGAGCAGCCTGAGCAGGGGGGTCTGTGCTGCCCCGGGCTCTGGCACAGGATACACTGGAGGCACTGAGTGGACCACTGACTCCCTGCCCCCAAGGCCAAGCCCAGCTGCCCCGGCACAGGCAGGGCAGGTGACAGCCTCAGGGCAGCAGGAGGCTGAGAAGTGCATGGGGCTGGGACAGAGACGAGTCCTGCTTACCTGCAGCCACGATCGCCCGGCAGGATGCACCAGAGCCTGCACTGCTTTTGGGGGCAGTGGTGCTGGCAGCTCCTGCAGCCCAGCCCCTGCTGCCACAGCCAATGGGCCCCCAGCCGGTGTGGAGGCCCCTCCCTGCCCGAACTGGGAGGCTTTCCTGGCCACAGCCATCGCCCCCCCCCTCCCCCCTTGCAGAGGCACCCAGCAGGTCTCACACCCACAGCAGGGGAGGTCCCTCTGACTTGGGGCTGCATCAGGGTGGAGCTGTAGTGTTAGCCACGAGTGAGGCAGAACAGATTTGCACCTTGAGATCCACAGAGAGAGCAAGAGAGAGAGCACAAGCTTGGGTGGACCCAAGAGCCCTGCATTGGCTGCTAGGATGAGTTGGATGAGGGCTGTGAAACTCATCAGACATGGGGCCTCAGCACACCACAGGCGTGTGTGTGTGGGTGGGGGGTGCGTATGTGTGTGTTAGGCAGGGGTAGTCTAGGACAGCGTGAGGAGGCCACAGGCAGCACATGCCATGATCGAGTCTCAATTTTCTGCTCCCCACTACTGTCTGTTGGCCAGCTCCAGCCCCAGCCCCAGACACCACACGCACCATATGGGGCCGGCTTGGGGCATGCGCTGGGGATCCAGCACATGGGGACAATTTATGGGCCCGATGCAGACTGGCCCTGGGTGCAGCATGAACAGCAAGTCTGACACAGGTGCTGCATGCCAAGTATGGGGCTGGCTGCAGCGTGTGCTGCATTGCGGGGGCTGATACTGAGGCTTCATGGGCTGGATCTTTGACAGCCAAATTTAGACAGTGGCTTGATACAGCCCTTTACCACTGGATGGACTGATGCCCATGAACCCAGAACTTCAGATTGCATTTCTGGATACACCACAGGTACTTTAAATCCCAGATGCAAGTGGTTTGGATAGGGAGGCCCTGCCTCTGATGGGGGGTTGGACCAGACAACCTCCAAGGTCCCTTCCAATCCGACTTGTCCATGATTCTGAGCTGGTGACCTGCAAAAACCAAGGCTCCTTCTACCCCAGAGAAACAAAAGGCTCTGCAGCACATCTAGAAGCTTTTGAGGAAAATGCCCCCTTTGCCTTGGAGTTTCTCCTATTTTTCCAGGACCAAACTCTAGGATCTAGTACCTGGGGCCTGGGGTAAGTAACACTATTGGGGATTGGCATTTGACCAAACCAATTGTTTCTGCCTGGAAGTTCTGGGGAAAAACTGAATAGGTGTTTGGGCCAGATGGATCTAGAGGCTTCCTGAGAGGCAGGGCACAGGGGACACTGGGAAGGGGTAGGACAGCCACACTATCCCCTCTCCCCATGCTAGAGGGATCTGGTCTGGGAGGGGACTTTCACCCTGTGAAGGGAGAATGGGGGCCTTTTGTCTGAGCATGCGCTGGCTCTTGAGTCCAGACTAACATATCACGTCAACTAACCCACTCCACACAGGACCCTGTGGAACCAGGGGCCACCAACTCTGGCAGGGCAGTGCCCTGCTTGGAAACACTCAGTGCTCCCAAGGGAACAGCTGGCCAGTGTCCAATGCTACACATGGCAGAAGGGGGCACTGAGAGCAAGAGGACTGTATATTTACAGCATATAATATTATCTGGCTGTTTTTCAACTCAGCCTCTAGGGATCCACAAAGGGCATGTCTAATAAGCCACAACCCAGCAAAAGACTATTCCACCTTGAGCAAGCCCCAGGGTCTCACCAGCAATCCCAAGCTTACCATTAGCCAAGTCAAACAATACAATAAAATGGAATCAAACTTCCCCTGAGACCAGCCCGGCCTGGCCAGCACCTTCTTATCTAGACACTTCGCTCCCATCACCATGAGATCTGCATGCTTCCCAAGTACACACAAATAGGAACACCAATTGCTTTGTTGGGGCAAGGAGATGAGCCATCTAGCCTGTCTCCAGAGGAAGGTGCAATGGAAATCCCTACAAGGCCTCTATATGTGGACTTTATTGTCATAGGGAGCCATGTGCCTGTGGACAGCACATGCTCTGAGCCAGGACAACTTGGAGCCATGTAGCATGCATGCTTTATACCCCTATCTGTATTTCAGTCCAGTTCACTTTCACCCCAGCTGATATTGCATGGGTTTACCAGTCTTTCATGGTGCCCCATAGCCCAGCTGGAAAAAACAGAGGTCCTTTGACACCCAATGGAAGCCCAGTCCCTGAGACTGACAAAGCAGCCCTATCTCTCCTGTTCATTTCCAGCCACAGCACCTGACCTCTCCTTCCTGCCACACCAGCCTCTGCCCAGAGTGCTGCTGGGCAGCTCAGCTCAGGGAGAGGGGACATGCAACACAGAGGTCTGGGATGGTCCAACCAGCAAAGGGCAGTGGGGTGTTCTGGCACTTCATCGTAGCCCAAGTAACCCCAAAATCACCCCCTCTCTGGCTAGCAGAAAATTTCTAGGCATCTCCCCTAAGCCCCACTAGCATTAACCCGCCATGACCATGGAAAATTAGAGCTTCTTCAGCCCCCAGGTTATCCAATCTCCAGCATCTTGCTGACACACACCTTCAATGTGCATTTTGCAGCAGCCCCAAGAGGCTCCCACCAATAACGAGTGCATTGCACCAGACAGAGCATTCCTGAGAAGAAGCCATCTCTCCAGGGACCCTACACCCACCTCAGGAGGAGGTTAGGAAGGCCCCAGTCTCAGAGCAATTCCCAGTGACCATTTAAGGCAGCTCCATCCTGGGAGCCCCCAAAATACAACTGAAGAAGGAACAGGGCAGTCACCTGGGATCACATGAGACATCCAAAACAGGTGGTCCGCTGACCCTGCCCCATCCCATAGACACTAAGGTACTGAGGTTACAGAGTGGCTGAGAGCCACTGGTAGGCTGAGGCCTACCATGCCTAAAGCAAGGCTGAACCAAGCCACTGGGGGGAACTGAGCCAGGACAGGCCCAGAGCTGAGCTGGGCAGACCCCATCCACACACCTGCCAGTTGCTCTGGCCCTGTCTGAGAGCTTTTCAACCAGTTGAAGCCCAGTTGAAGAGCTAGAGACATGGCCCACCTTGTGCAGAGGGGCACTGCCCTGCATCTAGGTGGAAGCTAGGAGCACAGGTCTTGTTCTGATGGAGTCTGTTCAGCCACCAGAAACCAAGTCATTGGAGAAAGGTCTTCAACAAACATCCAGGAGGGGGAACAGCTCCAGAAGCTTAGAGCACCAACCAGGATGGCCACCAGACGGCACACAAACCAGAGGAGCACAGGATTCCCAGTCTGGGAAGAGGCAGCATGAATACAGGCCAGGAAGTCAGGGACATCTCCTCCGCTGCCCTCAATGCCAAGGCAAAGAGCCATGCATTGAAGCCCAATCATCAAAGCAATGGGTTCTGACCATCTTCACCACCCATCCAGGGAACTGCCTGCTGCAGGACACGGGGCAGCGCAGGCTTCCAAGTACACTGTGACCATGGGGTGCAAGTGCCATGAGAGGGAAGCCTGATCATGCTGCTGAACCCACCCAGTGTGGGACAGTCTCAGCTGTGCTGCAGTCACTCCTCTGGCGGCATGTGGGGATGGACCCTGTCAGGGGCAGGACAGCACATGTACAAACACACAACTAAGTTGGTTCAGTATGGTAGGATGGGGAAAGCTGGGCAGATGGCTCCCATAACGGTGCTCCTGCTAAGATCAGTGCCCAGGCACCCCTGCCGTCAGCATCTGAGTGCTAGCCGTCTCCTGAGCGCTGCGGAGAGTCTTGCTGGCCCGTCCACTGGCTCCCTCCCGGCTGCCTAGCTTGAGCTGCTCTTCCGAGGGCCGAGCAAAGAGGGGATGGGCTATGGAAACACTTCTGCACAGCCCTGTGCCAGGTGCCACAGGCAGCTGCGGGCTCCAGCTGTGGAGTACCTTCTCCCCAAGGAGTCACCACCACAGGCAGCTGGCTTGTGCCAGGGGAAGGGGGTTGTGTCCCCTAGCTGTGGTGATGATGGCAGACTCCTTCCCAGCACGTCCCTCTCTCAGCCCTTCCAGTGCAGTCCAGAGCCCCATTCTGCAGGCCAGATCCTGCTCCCAGCCT